TGATAGTACGTGGTATTATGCAACTAGTGATGATGATTAAATTTTTCTCATTCTAAAGCTAATCCACGGAAATGAAATCTGCTTCATTGAAAGAAAATCCGACATGTAGTTTTAAAGAAATTCGTAAATTCGTATAATGAAATTCGTAAATTCGTATAAAGAAATTCGAGATGAAAATCGTTTAATCATGATTTGCCATCAGTGACGGAAGGTTTGGCAGAAATATTTTAGATACCGGTGATTATTTTCTCAGACGAACATTTTCGAGAAAATTTTTCAAATTAACTTGAAAACAAATTGTGTACATTTCCTGCAATATACAATAAACAACTTAAGGTTACATTTGCATTTCTCATTAGAAAGGTACTGTATACGGGCATATTTTTTTTTTTTTTTTTTTAGTTCCGATAACTAGTATATTAACAATTTTTTTAAAAATTTTATTTGGAGTCTTACTGTGCATAAAACGTAATAAATAAAATTAAGTGAAAATTTTAAATAATTTAATTAAGTTCAAACATTTCTGAATTTTAAATAAAGTAGGTAATGTATTTAATACCTCAAAACGTAGCTTTTCCGACTTCATTTTATTTAAACGTAAATTAAGAGTTTTTACGTAAGTAGCTTTAATCCATTAGCTTTTAAAATTCTTTATGTAGATGCATAAATATAAGTGGAATTTTTTGTAGGTATCTTTTATGTATATATATACTAATAGTAACATTTTACAGTGTTGAGTTTTATTTGATAAAGTGAACCAAAGTAGCCTAATAGAGCCAAAGTAGTAACAACCATGAACCTTTGTATTCAGAATAAAGTATGATAATAATTTTAAAAAAAAAGGTATGCGACGGCTGATTTTTAATTACAACATTATGTAATAGGGATGAAAAATTTCAATGCTTACTTTATGTGGTTACCTGGACTCTTTTGTTTCATATAGTATGCTAGAGATGGCGCCACTATCTTTCTTACTTGATTTCGCTAAAGAAAATCTTAGAATAGTTATGACATCGTTTTATATAATATTTATTTATTTTTATTCGCGAGTATTATTTAGAGTAGTGCTTCTTAAACTTATTTCAATCAGCGACCCTTTTTATTGAGTTTTTTCCGCGACCCCTGATATTAAATGTAAAATAAAGATATAAAAATAAATATCTTTTCTTAAATATTTCACTTCTTTGGTAAATGATATACATATAAAACAGCAAACGAAATTAAAGACGCAAACAAAAATTAAAGAAAATTTTAATGGGCTTATTTTCTGCTACATAGCAAATTAAATGTTGGTGCGATATTTTACACTGCTGGACATAAAGTATCTTCAACATATTTCAACGTTGAACGGCATTTGGTTTTAATAAGCTGAAAAAGTAGTTTTATAAAAATATATGATGCTGAATTAGAGAAAAACATTTAATGCCATTGCAAAAGTAATGAGAAATCTTTTTCTAACTCCAATCCAGAATTTATCAAAGATTTTCGTGAAAACTCAAGTTTTAAGTTTGAATCGCTATATAGCTTTACAAATTCCTTTTGCACTTTATATAACAGATAATTAATCTCCTTAACATCAATCAATGTAATAAATGTAAAGTCTAATCTCATTAATGTCAATTAATGTAAAAAGTCTTATATGAATCCAGTTTCTTTAAATTCAGCTATCGAACTGAATTTTCGCGAGCCCGAAATTTCGATTTGTGATCCCATTCGGGGTCGTAACCAGTTTAAGAAACTCTTATTTAATTCCTCTAAGCGGCAAAGCCGTATATATACGGCCTACAATATTTTTGTGATATCTGTAAGAACGTATATATACGTGCATATTAAAATATGTCAAAGAAATTAAAACAATATATCAAAATAAAACAAATCCAAATCCAGGTATGAAATACCATCAGAGTTTTTTACATTAAAATAAAAAAATAACTTGTTCTCATAGTAGTTTTGGGAAATTTGTTTCTTAGGGAAAACCCTGTCCGCTCAAAGGGTTAAAGTAATAATAAATCAGAACAGAATTTCACATGTATTTATTTGCTTATGAAAATAAACGAAATAGTATAGTTATGATATATAATTAGAAGTTATAATAGTGTAAAATGTTACACAAAGAAGGAAAAAAAAAATTACAGTGAAATTCGTTATTGAAGGTCTTTCGTAAATCGAAGCAAGTTTTCTATAAGAATTAATGTAAAATGAATTGTTTCCTGGATTACAGATAATTTCTTAATTAAATTTTACATTAGTTCTTTGTACACAGGTACGTAACCCAAAACCGATGGAAATCATTAAAAATAAAAAGAGATAAACATAACAAAGAACAAAACAAACAAAATTTTCATTCTCTCTAAGCGAATTTCGACTCTGCTTGAGACTCACTGGGCACTTGTTTCACTCAAAATGTGCCTAATGTCATTTGCCACTGCCTACGTTTTAAAAAATGTTTTTAAAGTGACACATTCACTCAAAACACTTATGAACCTTGTTACTGCTTTTATCCGAGTAATATCATAACGTAAAAACTTTGCACCAGTACCACTTTACAACCACTTATACTACCACTTGTAACCACTTATACTACCACTTGTAAATCTTATACTACCAAAAGTTTGGAAAATTATATATGCACTACACTACATAGGGTTAAGATATCGCCCAGGAGTTCAAAAATTTGCTGCTTTGGTCAAACAAAAATTAGAAGGAATGATTTTTTTCCTCAACATTTGTTTTTATGTTTGCAAAATTAAGAAAATAAAGTGCAAGAACAATAATTCTAATAAACCATTTAGCGATTATTGAATTTTTACTTTTTTTGCAGGGCGAAAGCTGTGCAGTCAGTAATTTATTACGGAAAACAAGAAATACGTTGAATATTTTTGAACAAGATAATTTAACAATTTTATAGTAAATACTAAAAAAAAATGCATCAGATTTTCAAGCGCAACCGTCACATTACTAATTAAAAATCGAAAGCTTAATAATTTTGAATACGTAGTTTTGTTTCTGAAAACTTAGTAATAATACAAGAAAATAGTAATTGTACAAAAAGCAGTCAAATATAAATCTAGTAAACTTTTTTTTTTTTTTCTCTCATATTCTTATTCTAATTGTTATCTTTAAATTATTTTTGTGCAGCTATTTGTATAATGATTATGTAAGTTATAGGGGAAAATGCAAGGGTGTCTATGAAGAAACCATTCTTTTAAAATGAGTCCGGTAATAAAAAAAGGTTGGGAATGATTGGTTTAGAGTTTAGGGCAATCTTTCGCAAGATGGTTCCATATTCCAAATACACATTTCCCAAATTCACTGCTTTTAATGTACGAAAGATTTAAAATTCTTTATTTTTCGTAGAGCTGCATTCACTGTTTAGACGTGGTGTGGTGTATTTAATTATGGCAAAGCACACTAAGGCTATCTGCCTAAGGGAGGGATGCCTTCGTGGAGGACTTTCTAAGGGAAACTGGGTTCGTATACACGTTACACATGGGGAAAACCACGAAAACGCCCATGCAGCCAGCCCGTTCGCGGAATTCGAACCTCGGACCGAACTACCAGTGTTCAGGGACTTTACCGCTCGGCCGCTGGTGAGCCCCACTGTTTAGACGAAAATTTAATCATGGATTATCGTTCGCGGTAGGCTAATTCCGTCAAATGCTTCTTCCATTACAATATTACGATTATGGCAGTCATTATATTTCAGATTCGCATTACATATTTTCGACGCTTTCACGTTTACATTCATTTTCATTTCATGGTCACTCCCGTCTAGTTTGTTAAACAAAAGTTCGGGATCCTTTAATTTAGGTCACTGGTCAACAGAATTTTTGCGAATTGTAATGAGAATTTTTTCTTTATCTGATCTAATGCGATAAATTTCTTAAATGTCACAATTGATATTTGTAGAATTATCGACAATTTAAAAGCACTTGTTGAAGTGCGGCTAAGCCTAAACATGGCGGTAATGTTTGTTTACATTTTAAACTTTGCAAAATAGCCGATTTGTTACCAATCTAGAGAAACTAAGCTTCGCAACAACAAAGATAACGCCTTCTTTTATTATTCCGAATTAAACCATGCTTAATCCATTCTGGAACTTATTCCAGGAAATAAATAAGAGTTTCAGATTTACTTCGTAATTTTTAATATAGATATTTTGAGTTCGTATGTACTTTTGACTTGTCGGAAAGTGAGAACTGAATTAATTGAATGAGAAATTCTGAATCGTCTGTGAGAAACCTTTTTGTTTGTTTGTTTGTTTGCTTAATTTCTTTTATACATCTTTTTTTTATTTATTTATTATAGTATTTGAATAGACCATGTGGCAACGATTCGATAATTCTTCAAATGATATAAATTTATATGCATTCTGAGTTATAACATGGACGAAATGTAACGCTGTTAAGTGAACCTAAAGCCAGAGTGTTGCTATGGTAAACAAATATAGTGAATTTTAAAAAATGCATTTATTTTATTGTGGTTTATGCGCTATCAACGATGTAGATTTAATTCAATCCAATAAGTTTAAATGAAATGCAAGAAAAAATGCGTATAATTTAATATTCCGTGCAAGATGTGTGGTGTACACATCAGATTTTTTTAAGAATAATTTGAGACTTTCGTTCAAAAGCCATTGAAGTATACTAATTCTTATAATTCTGAAAGCCAACCTGATTTTTTTTTAGATCTTCTCGACATTTTAAGAAACAAAATTGAGCAATCTCAAATATGTTACAACCCGGATTTATAATCGAGTTGATAGCGAATTTAGATGCACAGTTTTTCTTCGAAACAGAGATCGAGATGAAAAACAATGCTTCGAGCTAAATTTAGTTTTCTTCGAAAGCGAGGATATTTAAACCGAGAGTTATTGACAGCTTGAAATCTGAGCATGCGCAAATCGAAAACGAAACTGAATTAATAAAGTATGACACGCCACTTTTTAACGTCGTAGCCAGAGATACTTTTTTGCTCGTTGGAACATTTAGTTGCTAACGCGAAGTTTCTTTACGGAGCTCCCATCCAATAATTATTGCATTTTTTTTCTCTCACTTAAAACTTTTTTACTGCCGAGGGCACATTTAACGTTCATGTTTTTTTGTTAAAATCTATTTTAGTGTTTATGGGAAAGATTGCTTTAATTTTCGAGTAGCTTGTTTAGTTGCAATGTGATAATGTCTTTAAAAAAGTGGAAAGGGAAATTTTTGAAGAAACTGGATACACTTATGTGTCTCGTAAGTTTTGTAATTTTTGTTGTCATATTAATACTGAGTAAGTTATTATGTTAGCCATACCGTATGTTAGGATTTTACCGAGTATTTAAGAAAATTACGAATTTTGAGCTTTCATATTTTCTAACTAAACTAATACACAAAGAGCGATTTTCGTTTGTTCAAATTTAAATAAATTTTTATGTTATATGTTTACATAAATTTGTATCTGTATGTTAATTAAGGCACTGCTTGTTTTTTAAATATTTCTTTTTATATAATTTGAAATGATTAGTTTTATTTATTATCTTTTCTTCATTTTTATACCTTTCGCAAAATATTTTTTTTTTTTAGTCCAAAGGGATTTGAATCCCGAAGGACTATTAGTTTCGTTTTGGCACTTTGCGTCGGACGGATAAATGTCGGTTCACTTTTCAAACTGTTGCCATAAAATGTTAGAGTCCTGCATTATATTTGAAGAAATTAAATAATGAAAATCTGCGTAAATGTATGTATATTTCTCACATTGTCATAAAATAACGGTACATAGAGTCATCGAATTTTGAATAACGTAATCCTCCAACGAATATGAGCATGTGGAAGACCAAATTTGAAATTTGAAATTTGTTTTATGATCGATTTCCTATTTTTTTAAAACTTTGACGAATTTTTGATTAACAAACTCAAGGATTTCAAAGCGAGCAATGGCAACGTTGTGCAGAAAAAACATTTTTTATCTCCAGCGCGTGAGTCTCTGTATCGGAAATTCTAAAGATATGCTCGTTTTAAAACTATTTTGCGATATTGCTGTTGCACTGGATCTTATGGTTTAAGTGCGAGGAACATGATATTTAATAAAGAAAGGTAACACACAAAATGTTAAAAAACGCCCCTTTGGACGTAATTTAAAATCTGAAACATTTCAGTTTTTTTTTTTTTTTTTTTTTTTTTTTTTTTTTTAGTACGATGGGATACCTCGAAAGGCCATGAGTAGTATCACTTCTTGTAATTTTGATTAAAAATTAATATAACTTTAAATTGAATATTAGAAAACATGAAAAGATGTGTACGAAGAACTACACATATTTATTCTACCATCCTCTACCTTACCTTCCTTCATATTTGTATCTTAAAAAAATATTGTTTAGCGTCGTCTGGGTGCTCGGAAGTTTTAAACCAAAATGATAATTTCCTACATATAATTAATTATATTTTGGTAACGTTTTTAGTAGTTTTTCAGGAGCCTATACGATTTAATCCTAGTATCCGGTGCACACGGGATTTGACTACTTTATGATGAGCAGTAAAAACGGGACATATACGATGAGTTTTAAACGGGCCATTCAAAGAATATATATAGTTATACATAGTATATAATATATATATAGTGTATATACTATACGTATATAGTGTGTAGTATGTACATAGACCTTCTTTGTGTCATCTTTGGTGTTGGCGATAATTTTCAAAATCGCGTCAAGGCTGCACCGTATACTAGGATTTTATCGCGTATATTTGAGCAGTAAAAACGGGAGGTAGGTTAGGTTAGGTTATTTAATTACGGCAAAGCCTAGAGGGCTATCTGCCTAATGGGAGGAATGCCTTCGTGGAGAACTTTCTAAGGGAAACCGGCTCGTATACACGTTACACATGGGGAAAAACACGAAAACACCCATGCAGCCAGCCCGTTCGTGGGATTCGAACCTCGGACCGAACTATAAAAACGGGACATTCAAAGAATATATATAGTTATACTGGGTACAGTATATATAGTTACTGAGTATAGTATATACATAGTTACTGGGTACAGTATATATAGTTACTGAGTATAGTATATACATAGTTACTGGGTATAGTATATATTATGTATATTGTGATAGTATATAGTGTATAGCATATATATATATATAGTTACTGGGTATAGTATATATTACGCATATTGTGATAGTATATAGTGTATAGTGTTTACTGGGTATAGTATATATTATGTATATTGTGATAGTATATAGTGTATAGTATATACATAGTCGTTCTTTGGGTATTTTTTGTGTTTGGCGATAATTTTCAAAATCGCGCCAAGGCTACACCGTATACTAGGATTTTACCCTTATTTTAAATATGATGCAAATATAAGCTATTATAAGTTCTTCTTTAGCAAAATGCAGACGCGAAGGTTTTCATGAGTAGAAAATTTCTGGAACCCATTTCGTTACAACTTGGCTAATATTTTAAACACTTTTTTTTTTTTTTTTAACTTTTAAAACTCTTTACAATTTACGTATTGAATTACTGCTATGAAAATATGCTACTTAAATTTTTATGCAAAACGTTCTTAGGCTTGTATTTTTAGAGCGCAAAGTTAAAATCCAATACGGGAATTCCCCTTTCAAATTTCGCCAGACACTGGCAGCCTGATCACGTGGGAAAAATCGACGCGTAGAAACGGGAGTTCCTCATTCGGAGACGTGTTTTGTCTATAACTCTTCGGCAAAAGCTACAGTTAAATAAATGCGTTAATAATTTTAAATGCGTATGGACTACATTAATGTGATAAATAACTTGAAAAACTAATGCATGGAATCGAGCATCGATTTAACGGGAAAAAAAAAAAAAAAAAAAAAAAAAAAAGGAAGCTTTCAGATTTTAAATTACGTCCAAAGGGGCGTTTTGTGTGTTACTTTTATTTATTAAATATCATGATCTGGGTACTCAAACTATAAAATTCAGTTCAACAGCAGTATCGTAAATTAATTTTAAACTGAGCATATCTTTCGAATTTTCGATACAGAGTCTCGCACGCTGCAGATAAAAATGTTTTTTTTTTTTTTTTTTTTTTTTCCGTATAGTGTTGCCACTGCTCGCTTTGAAATCGTTGTTTTTTAATCAAAAATTCGTTGAAGCGTTACAAAATCTGAAATCGATAATAAAACAAGTTTCAAATTCAAATTAAGTCTTCCACATGCCCATATTGTATGGAAGATTACGTTATTCAAATTTTGATGGCTTTAGGTACCGTAGTTTTATCACAGTACGAGAAACATGCATACATTTCTGCAGATTCTTCATTATTTAATTTCTTTAAATATAACACAGGGCGATACTATATGGTGGCAATGATTTGAAAAATAATACAGCCTTTTAAAGTTTTCGACGCGAAATGCCAAAACGAAATTAATAGTCCTTCAGAAAAAATTGCCCCTTTGAACTAAAAATATGTTAACGAATCATTTTTATTCAGTTTTTAAAATGATGCACTTAAATTGTTAGCTAATCTTTGGAATATGCTAACAGGTAGTTTGGCGACATTTTGGTAAGGCGATAAAGGTTACTAGCTAGGACTTAAGCAGTTTATCCATGTAAACTGTAAGTCAAGAGTGTGCGCAGTGCCATTTTTGTGCAATTGTGGAATGTTTTTTTTTTAAGTGAAAATAGGTCGACGTGTACATGGATACCGTGTATGTGCAATTCTTAAAAACGCGGCAAGCACTTTGCGATTCAGCACTTTCTCCCAATTTCGCACCTAATCTTCGTCATGATTAAGCACTTTTCTTCCATAAAAGTTCTAGCATAAGCGTAATTCGGCTAGCAGATTGTTGGAAAAAAAATGTTGAGTTAAAAAAAAAACATGCCTTTACTTTATAACGTTCCGCGCCTCTAACTTGCACGCAACCAAGGGGTGACTGTGGAAACTGTATAAAAGATAGAATCTTGTGAAGGGTTTAAGTCCCTTTTTATTCAACGTAATAAATTACAATTGCGTGCTCTTGACGCTTACAGACGGTGCCAACTCGGAAGTCAAATAAAAATAAAAACCTGAAAAGAAAGTAAAGACAAGATTCTAACTACGAGGCTCTCTAAAATAACTAACTCACCGCGTTTTACAATACAGCTGCTAATTCAGCAGACTTGAAGCTCACTGGAACGATTACCACTACTTCCCGCCAAGCACATAGGCCGAAACGCGGGGTTCTTCAATTCTCGCTAACTACCTCCGCGCTCGTGCAGTAAGAAAATCACACCGAACTCGTTTCCTTCTATTTAAATCAGAATACTTCCGCTGATAATTTGAATCCTTGCGCGTTCTACTAAAATTTACATATTCTGGCATTGGCAGTTCCAGGGGAAAGTAAGGCTTGACAGGAAAGATAGTTTAAACTTAAAATAAATGTTAGTTAAAATAAATATAAACCCTACATTTGCCGCTGCCAGAATTTGGAAAACTTGGAAGCAGGTCCTACAAACGACCTGTTGTAAGTTTCTCTAATTCTGAACTAACTGGCGAGAACCTCGTTTACACCAAAAAAATATCTTATGTAACCATTTGTATACTAAAATTCTGTTGATCGTTACAAAGCTTTCTTCTTACAGCAACTTTTCCTGGACTTCATCAATCAATCTTGGTCTTTCCTTCCAGCATCTGGAAGGAATAAGTATCAGTATCTTTCTACATACATTATAATTTACACTTTCTTGACACAATAAATTTTGTTTTTAAACGATTCGTTTTTCTTAGTTATTGCTTACTTCACATTCATTCAATTTTTCAAGCATTAATTTAACTTTACCCTGGCTCTCCACCGTGTGTGGTGTCAAACGGGAATATTCGTGTTTTAGTCTTACAACACTTCCCCTAACCACCATGATTTGTTAGAATTTAAGGACCAAATAGACACACCTTACTCGACATTCTACAACTCAATGAGCTACTTTAATATTCTTAAAAATTCAAATGTAGGTGGAGAACCCTACAAAACACATTCATTCTAACTTCCCCCTCATTCATCTTTAAACATGCAGGCTTTCGCTCTAAAGCATGACTTTACAGTTTAATACTTAAATTTTGACTTCATTGCTTTTAAGCATTCACTTTTAGCATCTACAATTTTATGCTTCTAGACTAAATTCTACTTTTACATAACCTTCAAGTATTTACGTACATTTACAAAATTTTAATACATATGCTTTTTACAATTTACCATAAATGAATAAGAGAAATAAATTTTTACTTTACTCATTCTTCGCCA